GCCTCCCACCCCTCTCCCATTTTGTTCCTCTTTTTGTTTCCAGTCTTCACTCATTCTTTTCATTCTTTGTGTTCCCTCTCCTGTCCCTCTGTCCCCACCCTTCATTTCTGAGCTCCTGTTTCCTCTTCTGGGGTTAGCTCACATGCACAGGGTATGCCCACGGGCGGGGTCCTTGAGACCAGGCTGGACAGGTTCAGGCTCCAGGCATACACGGCCAGGGAGCTGATACTGTCTTCCTTTGCGCAGCTGTCCTGTTCCTGTACCTCCCTCAGCCAGCTCTGACATAGGCAAAACATATCAGTAAAACAAACTGGAAATGTTGGATTGGGCGAATCCCTGTGGCCTGGCTCTGGTAAGGGCTGTGTCTTTTTGCATGGATTTTATTTATTCCATTTAATAAAGCAGCTGCAGAAGTTAGTAGCAGATGTCATGAATCCTCTGTCAATGGAGCTATAAATACGAATGTGTGGCACCTTGATTCCACACGTCAGCCTGATCTGTGTTTCCAATTTATTTAATTAAAACAGATTACATTGCTTCTGGCTGTGTGGTTGTATGTGGAAAATCCCAATTTTAGATTGCAGTAAATCTGGAGTAATTTCTGACTTCCAATTTAGGCAAAATAGACTTCCCTTCTCCTATCTCCCTTTCTTGTTACTTCCGTGGGGCTCCAATGGTATGTCTGTCCCAGCATTAACTCCCAAGGGGCTTTCCCTTCTCATGTTTTACTGCTGTCATATGTGAAGACATGGGGAGGCTACACTCTGCCAAGATTGAACAAAGCAGGATAGAAAACCCTGAAATAGTTGAGAGAAGTGGATGGAGGGGCAAGTGGAAGAAAATAACCCTGGAACTCCAAGCCAAGGCCAGCCCCCAGGATTGACCATGTGTGTGGACTTCTGGTCCAGTCCTCAATCTGAGCGGACAACCCAGAGGTATCTGCCCAGGAGTGGCCACCCTGTCAGGAGAAGGAGGAGGAGGAGTAGGTCTTCACATGAGACTCCAGTCCTGCCCCATGCATGAGTAGAGGGGATTCTGCATGCCGCCTTTCAACAGGGATACGGTGCTGCTGTGCCTATTCATGCCAAGGTCCCCTCATAGGTTCTTGGTCATCACAGCCTCCCTGTGTGGTAGAGGGAATAAATAATGCTCTAAGAACCAAAGTCATCAGACTTGCACAGATCACCACTTAAAGACCACATGGCTGATAGGTAGAGACATTGGAACTTTGGTCATATGACTTCATATTCAGTGCCCGCAGCCCCATCTTGGGACAGACATGCACTTACATTGGTGTCCCCCATGGGGATTGTAAAAGCACAATTGCTGGGCCCTTCACTCAGTGTCTCTGACCTCATGCATGTAGAACGATGAGGGACAGCTCCAGGCCACACCCAGGAGTCAGTGTCCTGCAGAATTATCAGCAGTAAGCCAACTGTGAAGGTATAAGAGGGGCTGTATCCATCTCATCTTTCCCAGGAGAGCCCACTCTTGCCCTCCCAGCACCCATCCTTGCAAGGTATGCACCCTGGCTCCATGGTCCACACTAGAGTGTGCCTCTGTGTCCTTGGTCACATCCTCCCAGGGCCACTGCTAAGCAGAGGACATTCAGTCTAGAACAGTTCTTGGTTCCATGGCCTGGACAGACTCTCAGATGATTGGCCTGTTGGCTCATGATGCCCCAAACCTGTGTAAGCTAGACCAAGGATTCAGGGGCCTAGGCTGAGTCTCATCTTCTTCCTCATTGACTGTGATCTTAGGGACCCTTCCTGTGCGGGCACTGGCTGTTGTGCAGGCCTGATTCTCTGCTCTCTGGTTATCTCTACCAGGCTATTCCACATCCTACAGAAGCTATCACAGCCCCCCATAGGGCTCTGTGGCGTCTAGTCCCAGCTTATGACCACCTGCAGGTTTCACTGCTGCATCGTAGGCTCACTGTGTGCGACAGGGGTGCCAGTCATCAGGCAGCTACTTCGCACTTCAGAATAAAAATAGCCCTGCTGTTGTCTTGCTGCAGCATCTATGTGTTGCAGATAGCTCATGGGCCCATGGCTCATGTCTGAGCACACGTGAGCCCTGGGGCAGCCCCCTCAGAATAACACCAATCCCAGTTGTTTTGTCTTTGGGACCCTCCTTGACCACCTGCCCATGGTTAACAGGGACTGCACCTGCCCACTCCCTAGCTGTGACCCATTCCATGGGCTCCAGCACACCATCGGTCCCCTGCCTTCCTTGTTTTCTTCATAGAGGCAGCATCTTGGGCAGAGCCAGGAGTTTGTGGCACATGAACAGAATGGATATGATACGTGGCCACCCAGGCCAGCCACTGTCCCAGCTGTGTGGGCCATTGGCTGAGGCCAGCTGTGGGCAGATGAGAACAGCTGGTGGGGCCAAGAAACCTTGGGTTTCCTACTTAGAATGTAGTCTGGCTCTGTCTGGAAGCAGATCTGCAGGAGAAAGCCAGGTGGGTGGCTGAATGGACAGCTCCACTTCTTGAAGTCCCTGCAATGGTGTGGGATGCAGTCAACGCTGATGCCACCACAAGGAGCTGCTCTGACAAGTGTGATGCTGTCTATTGAGAGACGCTGGTAGCACCTGAGTCCCTGCTGCCTACCACCTCCTTCTGACTTTCCTGCCCCGACATAGGCTCTGGGTTGTGAGTCCTCCAAGGAGGCCTAGGCTATCATTATTTCCTCCCAGTGGAAGTGGCCTCCCCAGAAGGGGTTATGCTGGAGAGGTGGGACCTTGTCCTATGTGTTCCTTCCAGGGAGGGGCAATGACCACTCTAGGCTTTTCTTGAAGGGAGGCCTGGACATGATCATCCTTCTGGCACAGACCCTGCAGTTTCTTTGAGGTGACAGCTGTGCTCCAGTTGCTTCAGAAGGGATCTGATGTGCAGATATGGATGTGGTGACCGACACTGCCCCTAGCTGGGGCATAGATGCAGCTGGGATGGCCAGGGCCCTTCTTTCCCATAGGCATCTTGTCTTACTCTGCTACCCCTGGGCTGCATGCTTAAGAGATCTTTCCGGAGGTGCATGGCTGGACCATGTGATGAGATGCCCAGCACTGGGGAGGACAGGGCATATGCTGGAGTTTTGGTTCTGGTCAGCTGTTTCACCAAGGTGTCTGGCCTACAGTTCTGCCTACAGTTGGTAGAAGGTGGAGGAATGTGTTCCTGCTGACGTAGAGTGAGCCTCTCGGGGTGTCTCCCGATGCTAGTATTTGATCAGGTACTGGCTGAGGTCTAGAATGCACTGCTGGTCTTCAGATGTGGACGCCAAGGTTGGAGCAGGCAGCTGCTGCTCACTGTCCCTCAGTGCCGATGGACAGAGTGAGGGCAGCCAGAGCATGTTTAATTCCACCTCGTGTGGAATTACAGGTTATGCGGCTGTATTGCAGTTGTTAAACTTTAAGGAAATTCCAAATGGTTTTGCAAAGTCGTTTTGCGTTTACACTGTCCTCATGGACAAGTTTCAATTGATTTACTTCCTTTCCAGATCCCAGGGCTGCCAGAGTTCTTCGTGTTTGCCAACCACATGGTTGCAAAATGATATTTCATTGTTGGTCCTGATTTGCATTTTCCTAATTACTAACCATGTTAATTACCTGTCTGTGTGTTTGCTGGCTGTGTGCGTTTCCTTTTCTGGGAGAAGTCTGTTTGCATCTTTGCCCACTTTTCTGTTGTGTTTGTTTTTTTCTTATTGCTTTGTAGGTGTTCAGTGTGTTCCAGAGACTGATCGAGTGGTGGGGGTTTGTGTACTTGCTGAGTTCCTCTTGCGGGTGACACAGTGGGGGGCAGCATCCTACCTGGGCAGAGCAGGATTATTTATGTGTCCGTGAGCAGGCAGGCAACTTGGCTCCAGAGCTCTTCTCTTCTGGTGGATTCTGGCTGGAGCAGAGGGCCTCAGAGAAGAAGATCTAGCTGTCCCTGCCTCCACAAGCCCAGCGTGTGGGGGACAGAGGGAAGAGACAGAAATGTGCCATCTCACCTCTCACAGACCTGCTCACAGAAGGCTGCTGCTGTGGGCAGGACTGTCCCTGGTTCTGCTAGAATGACATCCTCCTCCTCCAAGTGCCCATTGCATATCAGCATTTACAGACAGAGCCCACAATAGCTGGCTCAGGGCAGGAATGTTCCCTTGGTGGCCATCTCCACCTCTCTCCACACATCATTCCCTGGCCAGGAGAGGGGACCCTAGCAGGGTCTCTGAGCACCACAATCTGCCCTCATGGTGTAAGTTCATCTTGGCCTGATAACACATGTCTCTAGAGACTGACCACACATGTGGGCCTCAAGGAATTTTAGCAGGCTGTACTGGGGTTTGTCATTGCACTCTGCTCTGGAGCCTGAGCTGTATCTCTCCCATGGTGGCCACTGCTGTGCTCTCTCAAGGATTGGACTCCTTGTCAGTAGGCTGTTCTAGCAGAGGCCAGGCAGCTGCAAGGATATCCCACCACAGAGCAGAGCTGATTGAGCCCTTCCCCCAAGGCTGTGGCCCAACATGGTGCTCATAGGGGCTCTTGATCAGGAGGAGGCCACCCTTGGCTGGACGGCCAGACCCTCTCTCCCTTCTCTGAGCCCAGAGGACACAGGCCAGGCCTCACTGCCCTTTCCCAGGTCCACCTCATGGTGGCTGTGTCGAGGAGCCACAGAGGTTTTTCTGGGACTCAGGCAACTCTTCCACAGTATGCACCTGCTGGGGGAGGTCGGTGTTTCTTTCTCTGCTGCCTGGGTACCGGACATCCCATTCCCCCATACCCTCCTGTCTCTGTGACTAAATGGAAGCTTTGGGTTGGACTTTAGGTTTGCATGTTTCCTGGCTGCCCACTTCTCCAAGTAGGGGGACCTTTAGCCTGCCTGGGGTGGCAGCTCAGTCCTGGCGCACCTGGTCCCTTGTCTGAAACTAAGCAAGGAGAGGGTCTGCAGTGGAGGTGCTAGAGTAGGGACAGGCATGAGAATGAGCAACAGCCTTGACCCTCTCGGTCTTATCTTGCAGGCTCAGCTGTCACAGGCCCTGGAGGAGCTGGGAGTCCAAAAGCAGAGAGCTGACATGGTGAGTCCAGAGGTGGTGCCCACAGGTCCCCAATATAAATGAGGGCAGCTGGTTAAGGCCACTGCAAACCTGGGTCTCAGCAGCAGTTCTAGTCTGGTCCCTCTCATGATACTTCCTGCAGGCACGAGCCTTTGGCCTCTTCTCTGTGGTTGACCTGAGACCCCTGCTTTTCCCAATGAGGCCCCTGTCTGTGCATGTGGTGCTGCAGATGGGAGGCTTTGCTAGAGCACAATGAGCCAGGTAGGTGGTGCTCAGGGTCATGATGTCAGCACCTCCAGAGTAGTTTAAGGGCCCTGTAGGCAGGCTTCCACCCAACTTAGCTATGAGAGGTTGGGCCAGGCAGGACTGACACACAAGGGGAGCCTAGGCAGAGCTCTGACATGTTGGCTGTCTGCCTAGCAGGACTGAGGGACATTTATGTCACTGTTGCAGACACAGCCATGAGTGGCACAGGGACCTGCCCTCGTGGCTCACATGTGGTCAGTATGAGCATTGGGCTGTAAGTCAAAAGCAAGGTATCACTGAAGACCACTTCCAGCTTGCGGAGATGGTGAGGGGAACTGAGCCTCTGCAGAAGGGCCTGGAGCTGAGGCCCAAATGACCCAAGGTGGTAGCAGGAGGGAACAGTAGGGACTGAAGCTGGGACTGGAAGGGATTTGCAGAGTCCTGGAGATGGCGAGGCTGGGGATGGCCAGGGTTGATCCATGTAGGCCTGTGGCCAAGGTGAAGGTGTAATCTCACTGGGGAGAATGTAGCCACCTGCCTGGCTTCTGTTCTCTGGAAGATGCCTGGCCATGCTGTGCACAGGAGCTGCTGGGACAGGATAGGGATAGTGGATCAGGACAGAGCAGAACCAAGATCTCAGTGGGCAATGGTGAGCAGGTCAGATTTGAGAAAGGTGGGTATGGGGTCCATAGAGAACATGAGGGCCAGGAACCCAGCTCACTGCTGCAGCATGAGTGGAGGTGACATCAGGGGCCTGCTGGATGCTGGATTGGGACTCTGAGTCGAGGCAGTTCACTTAGACTTGCCCCTCAACATCTGGGTGGTGTTTCTGTCCTCAGGGTTGCAGGAGTGGAGAGAGTGGACTGGCTGGGAAGACCTGCAGTTGAAGCTGTATGAGCAGCAGAGAGCCCTTGGGTCTGGGACAGCATCCTGGATGGCTTCACTAGGCAGGTTGAGGGCAGGCAGGACTGGCTCCTGGTGCAAGTGTGGACAACCCTGCCCAGGGGTTGGCTCTGAGCTTGCAAGAGAGGGACAGGCTGGGCAGCAAGGTGGGTCCTGGGGGAGTTGTTACCCTGATGGACAGTGGAAATCAAGCTGCTGTGATGGGGACAGCCTCCCAAGGCTGGGACAGAGACAGGGCTGCAAGCTGCAGGCCATGGCCTCAGTGCCAGGAGGAGGGAGGTAGTGACAGTGCACAGCTGTCCACACATCATCCTTTTGGACCTTCCTCCTCCCCCACCTTGCTGTTGGCACCACTTTTCTTATCTTGCGGGCAGCCCTGCTCCTCTCTAGTCCCTGGCCTCTCTATTCTCTGTCCTCATTAACTGAGCCCTGCAGGCTCCTCCAGCAGGGGCCCATTCAGTGTTGACTTTGGGAAAGCCATGGGTTGGGGGATGGGGTCCTTGAGGACTGGCACATCCTTTTGCATAGCCCAGGAGACCCTGATGTTCACAGTGTCACCGTGCATGTCTTCCTCAGTGTTGACTTGAATTGAAGCTGCCTAGGGGCCTTGTTTTCATAATGTCCATAAGGCCAAGAAGAATTAGAAATGAGTTGTGCTAAGCACATGCCAGGCCCATAGTGCTATGGCTAAGCAGCTGGCTGGTTGCCTAGGGCTGTCCTTGATTTTAGATCCCCCACCTTTCTTCAGAAATGCAAATGCCTTGACCCTGGCTCCCATTGGGGCTTTGGAGAAACCACTGGCCCTTGGTCCCTCCTCAGAGATGTTCAAGGCCTTGGCCCTTGGGGGCTGTGGATATGCTCCTGCTCATCTGCCTCTCTTCAGCTCCTGCTTGCCTGCCTCTCCTCATCCCTGCCACTTTCTATTCCTATGTGAAATCCCTGAACTGTGAAGTACCTGGCCCGCTGTAGCCATTGACTTGGGATGTTGGGGGCCCTAGGCAGAACGATGATCGGATTGAGAACCCCTGCTCTCAGATTTGTACCCTGGCTTTCATGCAGAAGCCCTCCCCCAGCTTGCCAAGGGTCTTGGGATACCCCCTGGAGGCTTTTGATGACCCTGAGGAGATGGCCTGGGTGTGTGGGGCCTCATCCCTGAGCTGACTCTTGGCTGGCCCTGGGATGAGGTGCTTCTGCTGCAGTCAGACAGGATACCAGCATCTTGGGTGGTTTTCTGCAGGCTTGTTTCAGGACAGGGACTATGCTGTTCTCTTTGCTATGTTTAGAACCCAAGACCTTCACACTGAGCTACATACCCAGCCCTTTTAAAAAAATTTTTTTTTAAATTTTGAGACAGTCTCACTAGGTCTCTAAGTTAGTTGCCCAGGCTAAGCTTCCACTTTGCTGGGATTACAGGCATATGCCACTTTACCCAGCACACAGCCAAGGTTTTCATCTCTGTCTGACTCTACTCTGTTTTCCCCTTATTGCACATTCTTTATTTCACCTTTCCCTCTCTCCCTATGGCAGGGATTCCATGAAGTGGGGCTGTCAGGGCAAGGGGCACCCAGCCATGGGAATTGAGGTTCAGGGGTAATCCTCACATGAGCAAGGCCTCACGACAGCTGGGGACGCAGCCCTGGCACCTGCCCCATCTCCTAGCCCACAGCCCCTGCCTGCTGTCTTCTCATGCAGTTAATCTACTAGGAGAAAGAAAACTTTAAACATCTTTAGCTAATTGCACAAGACAAAGGCAGTTTGACGTTCTGTTATTAATTAGCAAATCACATTAATTAGTAAGCATAAGAAAGGCTCATGCTTTTTTCTTTAAACACAATTAATATAACAAGGGGAAATGTCCTGGGCCATACTTGTGTCATTAACACACCTCACCCTAATTAGATATGGCCAGCAGTGGCTGGAGAAATGGGTTTTTTGATTACAACTATAAAAAAACAAAAAACCCTAGAATACTTTATGTACTTCAGGGAGTGAGAATTAGAGAGTTTCTGATGTAAGAGGCATTACACCCCCTCACAACTTGGTGTAATTAAGCAGTCATTTTCCTTCATTCACGTTTTCCCTCCTGGCTGCTCCTGGAGCCTAGTGGTGGGTCAGCCAAAGGAGGACCGTGGTTGTGGCCTGGCCAGACCATGCCCTGTGTACCAACTGCCCTTCTCTGTTGCATCTCTAACATAGGCAGTCCAGACCCCACTGTCCTATGCAGAGAAGCACCAGCCCTGGGGACTTCGCACATGGAAGAACCTCTCAGAGATCAGGCTTGTCCTCAGAGGCCAGGGCTGTGTCCCAGCCAAGTGGCCTTGTGACACCCTCGCTAGCACTGAGGCCCAGCTTGGCAGGTAGAGTAGAAGCAGGCTGTGTCTCAGTACAGTGACCATATCTGTCTGGGTCCTGCTCATGAGTCTGGTCTTGTTGTAGTTTCTCTGAATTCTATGGCTGACTGCCACCTTTTTCCATCTGTGCTTCTGGCTAGTGACCCATGCTAGGGCTGGAGAACTCGGTGTGTGGTGAGCATGTGGCGAAGTTGGGTGTGGAGACTGTGGGGCTGTTCTGCAGGTTTTGGACCACCTCCTGGTTTGGGAGCCAGGTCACTTCCTGCCGCACCAGCATGTCTGTCCCTAAGAGCCCCATGTGTAAATGTCCAGAGTTGGGAGAGACTCTTTGGGACAAGATATTCCCAAGTAGGTCTGAAATCTGAGACTGGCCTCCTATCACTGGCCTCCCAACATAGGTGCAACCTTTGCTGAGCACCTCACCTCAGAGCCTTTTTCATCCTGCAGGGGCTAGGGCCCTCCCTGCTGACTGCCTGCTGTGTGACCTTAGTAAGCCTCAATGCCAAGGGAAGAATAATGGGCCTCTCCAAAGCCTCATAAGGCCTGTGAGCTCTTGCGTTTGAAAAGACCAGCTATTTGGTACAGCACTGCTAAGCAACACCAAGGGCCTGCTTCTCCCTGGGGATCTAGAACAGCTGCTGTGGGGGCTCTCTACCTTCACCTGGTGAAGTTTCCACTTTCCCTTCACTCTAATTCTCAGTGCACACCAGTGAGGTACCCTGTGGGGACCAGGAGGGTCTCGCGTGTGACTGGGTTACCTTAGCATGCTTACCTTTGAGGTAAACTTGTCTAGTTCACTGGGCTTCTCTTATGGACTTTGCTCTGAGGGATCAGGACTACTGTATGGCTGTGTGGCTCAGGCCAGTCTTGCTGCTATAACAAAAATGCCACACACTGGGGTACCCTAAAGCTACAGAGATTTATGGCTCAATTCCAGAGTCTGGAAACCCAAGATCCAGTACTGGCTGGTTCCATGTTGAGAAAGGGCTGCTCCCTGCTTATTGCTGTGCTTCACGTGGTAGAAGGGAGAAGAAGCTCTCAGAGCCCTCTGTGAGGTCACTGGTCTCATTTGTTAGACCCTTCCTAATAATGCCACCCTGTGGGTGAAATTTCAGCATCTGGCTTTGGGGGACACAGATGTTCACTCCATGACAGTGTTTTCGTCATCCTACTGTGTGTGCTTGGCCAGTGCTGATGGCTCCATCATTAGGGAGGTCTTCACCCCGTTCCTCGGTGCCTGATGTGGCCTGCTATCCCACAACTCCCGGGTCCTTGCCCTTCTCTGAGCAGGCCATCTTCTCATACTCTTCCATGTGACTCCTTGTGTTGCCTCTGCCTCCTAGAATGTCCAGCAGAGCCTGGCTCTCCCTCAAAATCAGCTGCTTCCTTCCTCTCTCCTCGGCATGTGCTTTGCATGTTGTCTTCGTGTGACATGCGATTTTTATCAGTGCCATTGTTGTCATTATCCTTGTCCCAGGTGGTGAGCTCCCAAGAACAGCCAGCACTTGCTGGTGGACCCCA